ACCTCGGCTTCTTATATCTTGTATCGGCTCTTCTCCTTCCCTGGTTTTATCTAACTTCTGCTTCAAATTTACAAGCCAATGCAAGGTCATTCCTTATACTTTCAGATTTAATTAAAGCCTTCATATATGTTATTCAAATCCATGTAAGGACATCTACCTTCTCTTGCTGCATGGGACGCGTATTTCTCCAATATGGCGTGCTTAAGACCTAAACACGCTTAAAATTAATTAGTGTTTTAATTAATGTATACAGTTAATAAATTATAATTTCTTTTAGATTCTTCTTTGCAGCACAGAAATGGGAGGGACTTACATTGACCTGATCATGAAGGTATTTAATGTATTCGACAGTCTCGTGCAGTACAGAGGCAGTTGCAGTCTGCATTACAATCAATAAATAATAAACAAGTATTATTCATTTAAAAATGTTTATGTAGATGTATTAACCTTTCCAAATGGCGAAACCAGCTGCTGGAGGGCATTGATTTTATCCCCTAGTTTTTCTTTCCTCACCTGCAAACATATTATATTCTGAAACTTCTCATATTTATGAATTTGAAGGAATTAAAGCAGAATGAAAATGATAAATATCGAATAAGAAATGAGAGTTATGTATAATGTATCGAATTAAATCTACGTCATAACATACTTTGAAGGCTGCCGGCAAGGGTGAAAGCGTCTCAATGCGAGGCTTCTTCATCTCAGACTCGTTGCTGGTCTTCATGTCCGAAACCTCTTCCAAGCTCTATATGTATTATATTGAGAGCATTCAAATTGTTAACAGGAACCATCATGTTTATCTTACCACATTTTCGATAAATTGCACTCGTGCAATTCTACATCATAACATATGTTACAAGAATGGGATGCTTTTCAAGCTAGTGGTTAATACATATTGCTTTTACGAAAGAAATTTATAATCAAATCGAAAAGATCACTTTAATAAATCAAGCACTCAAGTCAACTTTCACAGAGAGAAGAAATAAATATGTGAAGTGCTCCACACATACATCAAGTTAACAAGCATGTTGTCAACGCTATCTCAATTATGAGTAGTGATATATTTCTGATCCTATCATTTAACCTAAAACTGGCCGAAATGAGGTAAAATGACCATTGTGCTCCTTCTATCCCTCTCATCAATGAAACTAAGGGCCCGTTTGGGTCAGCTTATTTGGTGCGGTGGCGTTTTGAAAACACATCAAGTCAGTTTGGGCAAACTGTGTTTTCAAAAAGCTGAAAATAATGTTTTCACACCTCACCTATTAGATGCGGTGGCAGCTTTCTGGTTGCGCTCTGGCATTTTCAAAAAAATAAAAAATTTATAATTATCACCATACCTTGTTTATTAACATATTGTTTAAGAAGCTGAAGTCTCCCCAAACAGACGGTAAAATGCGACATATACGTAACATTTTTAATTTAAATTAATTAAAAATAGAAGAATGCATAAGCATACAATATATTTAATATGTTACTTTCATTTTCTTATGTTAACTTACTAAATATTAATGATCCCATAAATGCTTAATATTGAAAATCTGTTGACATTATAGTATGGGAAGCGTTGCTCAATATATAAATATACCTTCACTGTCATACTGCACCCGGGCTTCGACTCAAAAAGCTGTATTCCCGACGAAGGAAGAGCAGAAGGGCAAAACCCAGCAGAATCATTCCAAAAAGGGATAGTACTTGTGAATTGCAGCTGATTGATATCAGATTGCTGCTTATGAGAAAACTCTTTGAATACCGGAGGCAGCTTATTCCAAGAGGGCTCCAACGTCTCATTAGAGAAGCCATGGTAAGCCATTTCCTGGCTATCAAAAAATGGTTGCTGAAAACTCTTATCCCGCTCGGCTAAGACTGTTGGCATCGATGAAGAGGATACATAGGTAGAAGAAACAGAAGAAGAAGTACAGAAATTCATTTCACTTAATGGGACTGTCGCTGATGATTCTCCTAGTTGTTGCCTATAAAAAGGTCTTGAGTCGATATCCTCTTGATGCATGCTGAAACTGTTATCAGTTTTTTGACCGCAGAGTCTTGGCTTGGATTCGGAGGTTTTATTTGCTGGAAGCCAGCTGAAAGAATCCGATGATGAATTGATAGCTTGGCTGCCATTGAAGCTGCTGCTCCTGGAGTTGTTCCACCAGACGTTGCAGGGCTGGAAATCCTCTGCCATGGCTCTGTCTTTCCCTTTCTCTCTCTGATGTTTTGTATGATTTGCCTTTTCGTTTGGTCTTTGGCTAGTTAACTTTAGCGGTCTGGTTCTGTCCGTTTGGGTATACGATGAGAATACAAGGGATTTGGCGCATTTATATGCATGATAACGTGGTGGAAGGTACTAAGTGGACAGTTTAAGGAAGCAAGTTTTACGGTAATATTTGGATGATAAAAGGATTAAATTTATTCCCTCGCTCTCAAAAAGATTTTATGTTATCCGGACTTTCACGTTTCCAATGATGGGTTAAATAAAATGATGCTGAAGAGGTTACCTTACCATATCTACATTTTTTTTACAGCGATGAAGAAATCAACTTAACTTATTATTATTATTTCGACAATTTAATGCTGTTAAATCTAAATTTGTGTGGGAGACTTGCGTAAGGAGTAAAACCTTGAAAGATGAGAGAGAGATGGGGAGAGCAATATATCACCTCCCAAAATAACCCTTGTGGATGGTGGGCAGCCCAGGACTTAAATACTATTTTTTGACTCTACACCTAGCCGATGTGAGAGTATTTGTCCGTGACATTCTCCTCCACCCAATCACGTGACGCCCTCATCACGTATCGGCTACAACGAGGGTCCCACTGGACCATGGAGAGTCCACACACCTGACAGACAGTAAACTGCTCTGATACCACTTGTCACCTCCTAAAAGAGCCCTTGTGAGTGATAGACAGCCCATGACTTAAATACTCCTTTTTGGTCCTACACCCAGCCGACGTGGGATTATTTGTCCGTGACAAATAACACTATAATAAATAGTAAATTTGTGTAATTTTTATTCATCAAATAGACCATCTATTCATATAAATGGGTCATCATATTATTACATATTATACCTCTAAAATACTTAAGTAGGGCGGGATATTTCAATCCTTACATAAATATGACTGGTCCCGTAAATAAAATGATTAAATTCATGCCCTCTCTATCTTGAAAAATAATAACCTTAATCTAGACTTCCACGTTTACGATAACGGGTAAATAAAATGATGCTAGAGGTGACCTTACCATAAATATGTTTTTTTCTTATTACAGGAACGAAGAAACCAACTTAATTATTATTTTGACAATTTGGTACTGACGCAATTAAACAGGTTGAAGGCTAATGGGTGTGAGAAGGGAAAAAATAATGAGATACCTGATGTGTGTCAACACCGTTCTTTATATATTGGGAGAATGAACGTAATTTTTGCTTTATACTTTTATAAAATGTTATTGTTTTGTAATTGCTATTGCTTTGTAATTTCGATGTTGCCTGTTATTTGGAAGCTTAGTGTCATCTCCCAAAAGAGCTCTTAGAGGTGGTGGGCAGCCCATGACTTAAATACTGTTTTCGGCCCTACACCTAGCTGATGTGACACCTTTTGTTTGTGACATTCTTCTCCACCCAATCATGTGACGCTCTGGTCACGAATTGACTCCACCGAGGGTCTCACTGGACTATTGAGAGTCCAAACACCTGACAGACAGTATTCTGCTCTGATACTATCTGTCACCTCCCAAAAGAGCTTTTAGGGGTGGTGGGCAGCCCAGGACTTAAATATTATTTTTCGGCCCTACATCTAGCAATTTGAGACTTTTTGTCTGTGACATTAGACTTTTAATAGGGCTTTAAATAAATCAATCCACTTAATGAATGATCTAAACTCGACTCGATTAATACACCATCATATTTATTCATTTTTTTGAATATTTTTATCAATTTAAAGTTTAAATAAACTAAATTTGAACATAGTCTAACTCCTTTATTAATATCAAAAACAAACTCATTAATTATTCAACAAGCAATTAAATATTATATACTTATATAATATATTATTTAAATAAAATTGAATTAGCTTATATATATATATATATATAATAAAGAGTAGCTCGTGGCTCCTTACGTGCTAATTAAATAGAAAATTACATAGTTGGGGAAGGAAAGTGGATCCCAATCTAAAACAAAAAAAAAAAAAAAATACAACATAGCCCTAGGGGTTCCACTCTCCGCAGTACAACGCAACGCAATAAAAAAACAAACCAAAGGTACATGTAATCATCCAAAACGTATACCAAAAGAAAAAGTGTACCAAAAAAATTACATGTACCAAAAGTCCCAAAATAACAGTGAATGTAAAATCTCATAATAACAGTGGTGTCGAGTAGCAGGGTCAAAATGCCGGCTTGTAGATCCGGTGAACACTGCAAAAATAAAAGCCAAAATCTGCAAGAAGTATGAAAATCCACAAAACTTCTGCATAAATTGTTCAGTGCTAAGAGGAAACCATCCCTACAACTCCAAGCAAATCCCAGATGTCCGAAAATGACAGGCAGCAGCTCCATACATCCCATGTTATGGTAACCAACTCCAAAAATTAAAAATGAGATCCCAGACATCCAAAAGGAGCAGGCCAAGCAAGATAAAACATGAAAACCAGCCTCACGGTCCAAATTTGAAGTCAAAACAGGGTGAAAAATGTTACCAAAATGAAACTCAGAGTAAATCATGAAGGATCGAACAGTTAAACAGTAAAAAGAACCAATAAAAATCAGAGCAGAAAATAACATAGAGAAACATATAATCCCTCTATCTTTTAATATAAAACACACTAAGAAAATCCCCATTTAAAAGATTTTGAAGTTGAGGAAGGAGGCACCACACCTACAATAATTCGTTGGAGACCTTGCTTGGCCAACCAATCAGCAGCAGTGTTACATTCCCGATGGATGAAATTAATTTGCATAACCAAATTATGCCTTTCAATGAACCCCTGAATCATGTTAAACAAGCAAATGACATTCTAGGTGGGGAAGGTGCTCTTATTTAGAATATTAAACATAGCCTTAGAAACTGTCTCGATAATTAAAGCATGGTGATGTAAACTTTGGTTCAAATTTCGTTCGGGCACTTCTCTCTGGGCACATTTTCTTCACCAAAAATATTGTACCCATTTGCACCCTGCTAACGTTGTTTGGAAGGTTGGGGATACTAAAGTTTGGAAATCACTGCTAAATGTTAGATCTATTGCTCATAATTTCATTTTTTAGGATGTTGGCATTGGTAACTTATCCTTCTGGTTTGATAAATGGGGCACGGTAGATCTCTCTATCTTCCCACATAATTTGCAGGATAACACGTTACATGTTTCTGAATGTTGGAAAGATGGGGATTGGGATATTAATAAGCTTAGAAATTTGATTGGCGATAATTCTGATCATATTCAGAGAATTCCCATAGATGCTACTAAATTGAATAAA